TCTGTGGCATTTTTGTGTTGGTTGTGAGCAGAACAGGATCAGAATCTCACTGCTTGAGGCCTGCCTGGTGCTCCCTTACAGAGCTGCTCTTGCTGTCCTGGCTGTACCGTSTGTCCCTGGTGTCTCCCATGGGGTCACTTTTGGGGCAGTGGAACCCACCGTGTCCACTCTTTGATTATTGCTTACTCTAATTAATAGAAGTACATGCAGTTCTGATCAGGGTGTCTCCAGGAGAGCCCCAAAGTGCCTTTCCTTGCCTAAGCCTCTCTCAGAACACGACAGCAATTTGGGARGGAGAATTCTGCCTCAGCTGAGCTCTTCCTAATTCTTTTTCCTAACCACAATCTCCACTGTGTGCCCCTTTGTAGTTAACTGCATGCCCATTGGCAGGTGGTATTAACCCTTGGGCCTGCCTGGTTCCAATCTGGAAATTACAATCAGATATTAAAAATGTAATTTAATGAGGTTTCTAAAAGCATGTTTCAATTTGAATGGATTCCTGCAAACTTTYCTTGGTGCTGCACACTAACTCTGGAGTACAGACAAGTCAAAGSTCCAGTGATGTCTCACAGGAAAAAAAAGGCTTCCAGGTCTGTTTAATCCTGATTTTCTTGATTAGAAAATGAAACAAAATGGATTTGTAGTGGAACTTTTTTTTTAATATAGGTGCTTTTTAGGGAATGTTTACCTAGATGTCTCTTGACTTGAGTGCCATCCCAGAGGACTGATGGGGGACTGCCAGTACTGTACAGAACTCATCAGAGTCCTCCCCTCACCACCCCTGTGCTTTTGTACGTGTCCTACGAGTTTATGACTTGCCATAAGCAGTTTAGACAGCAGCTGGATCCTACTAAGCTGAAATGCAAAACTAGCCTTAATTAGAAGTCCCAGGATCTCTGTAGTCACAAGGGCTCACTTGGATGAATAAGGGCTAATGGAAGGAATGACTTACAGGATCAGGCTTTTATCAACTCACTCCTAGATCACATTCTGCTCCTTTTTGACTTTGCATGAAGGACTGATACCAACTTCTCAAACTGTTCTATCCTTATCCTGCAGTTTCTTCTAGCCATTTGAAAATGTTGCCTTATAAACCATTGGAATTAACATAAGACCATTTTTAACAACTTAGTTACTGCCTTAAAATAAAAATCAAAATCCTTTAAAGTTGCTGTGGATTAGGAACAAATGATTTTGAGATAATAGCTGCATTCTTAGCCCTTTACTGAAAGGGACCAGCATTTTTATTTATAAATACCAAAGATGAAGAAGCTAAACCATTTTAAGTTGTGGTAAGTTGCTGTGAAAAACCAACTCTCTAGTACTGTGTATTGTGCATTTTTAGTGCTGTGTTTGAAGTGGGACCCCTCAGGTGTGTCACTGGAGTCCAAGGTGAAGTTTTCAAAGGCATGAGGAGCAGTTGGGTACCTCATTTCCTATTGTCTTCCAGCAGAAGTTGGATGTCTTTGAATCCAGTCCTGTTGGACACACTGTTGCAGCAGGAGGTTCTGGATCCCCAGTGCATTGTAAGCCTGCTTCCTGTTTCACTTTTTCACCAACATTAGGGAAAAAAGTGTTTCCTACAGTGTCTCCTTCCCAGGATCCACACATACTTCACTGCTAACAGTAAGGATTTTGTATGCCTGTTATATCTCTCATGGTAGCCAAATATTTTTCTTGTGTTTTGAGGTTGTTTGTATCTTTTAGCCTTTTTTTTTAAAGCTGCAGTTGCTGGATTTCTAGAAATAATTCCAATCTGATTTTCCAATGGATCTGAACATCTTATGCTGCCAGTTCATCTCTGTATCATGCCTAGCACAAAGCTGCACTAAGTGTTTCTTATCACTGTGCCCTGACTCTGCCTTAAGCTCTAAGTTGAAAAAGTGTTCTGTAAATATTTAAAAGCTGTTACAAAATTGCACTGTAAAATTTGGCAGGTGTAGTCAACTTTTTATGGAACAATCTTGTTGTGTTGTGTAAATAAAATCCTCTTAGTAAACACGCTGTGCTGGTACGTTGTGTTTTACAAACAGGAATCAGACTCCTGGAGTGGTTTGGGTTGGAAGGGACCTTAAAGGGACYTTAAAGCTCATCCAGTTCCATCCCWGCCATGGCAGRGACACCTTCCACTGTCCYAGGSTGCTCCAAGCCCTGYYCAGCCTGGCCTTGGGCACTTCCAGGGATCCAGGGGCAGCCACARCTYCTCTGGGCACCCTGTGCCAGGGCCTCCCCACCCTCCCAGGGAACAATTCCTTCCCAATATCCAATCTAACCCTGCCCTCTGGCAGTGGGGAACCATTCCCATGTCCAGTTCCTGATGAAGAGTCCTCCAGTGGAAGGTGCTGTGAGGTCGTCACACAAATCCCACCTTGTTCAAACCCTTGGTTCCCTTCCCAAGCTTCAACAAGAGAAGCCTGGAAGTAATCCAAGATGGAAAGAAGATGGAAATCAAAGCCAGTCCAGCTCCAAAGCTGTTCTCTTCTGAAGACAAGGAGGTAGAARTGGAGAGCACTTTTCACAGCACTGACCAAAAATCCTGGGGCTTGTCAGAGATGCTGCACAGTTTGTGGGTCAAGGAGTGACTGCTGTGTTCTGTGCTGCCTTTAGAACATTTCTGCAATGAGGTGTAGGGATGAGTGAACCTTCAGGTCCTCTCTGCACAAATAGTGGAAACACTTCCCTGCCAAATCAACCAGGCTCTCTCTGATGCCAAACTACTCCAAAAACTASAGGATCCCAACCCACACTTACTTTATGAATCAAGGAAACAAAACCTTTTGTCTTTCTATTCCCTGCCTGTTCTACTTCATATTTAAACAATTTTTAAAGGAGCCAAACAAATCACATATAATTTATACTTTAATACAGAAAAATCCCATACATCTGGGGTTCATACACAGCACAGGCAGCACTTCAGTACATCTAGAGTAAGACAAAAGTTGACCTTGTACTTGAAGTAGGTGACCATAAGAGGAGGAAAAGCAAACACTTTTAAAATTTGATTCGGTGTTCCAATGGAACTCACTCTACTAACAAAAATTAAAATCCAAAAYGAATAATCACTTGGGAAAGCCAATAACCTACAGTGGGTGAGTGGTAAAAACTGCACGGCAATCATGGGAGCTGGGTATGTCCATCCCATGCTGAAGGTCCAGTTGATTGCACAGGGAACCAAAAGCTCCTACAGGCATGGACAGTCTATAACTCCCAAGAGGGGCTGGTGCAATTCAGTGAACTGCCTGAATCCTTCCAGAGGCTGAGCTGACCCCGGGCTCAGGGCCACACTCGGTGAGATTTGATTTGGCTGGCCATGGTATTTTAGCTGTCAGATCCCAAAAGGTGAAGTTGAGATGCAATTCTCAGCACCTGATGCCTTGACASGGTGCTGAGGAGGAGCTCTGAACAACACCCACACTTCAGTCCTTAGGGCAGAACATGTGGAACCTCTAATTTCAGCTCAGCTGGGCAGCACCAACACTCACTCAATTAAACCTGACACTGCTGTCAAAATRAATACACTCTGAAAAACAGAATCACGGGGCCACCACTGCTGGACACACAGGCCTGGGGACAAGTTCCATCACTTCTGGGYTCACCAGTGCTTCTGTTTGTCCTGAAGGAACAGCTCATCACCAAGGCAAGGAACGGGGTTGGTCTGGCCCCTGGTGGAGATCAGTAGTCTATGTCTATAGTCCATGTGTCTTCCTTTCTCTACAAAAATAGCAATTTATCTGGATCACTAATGGARTGTCTGCACATCACCTCAGCTCTGCGCAGGCACCAAAGGACACTTCTCTCTACTGACCCAATGACACACAGGGAGAGTTTTCAAAATTAGGTGGAATTTGGGCATCTGAACCCCCTGGGACTCTTAGGAAGTCCTGAAATCTTCCCATAGGCACTTATCAAAAGAAGAAATCTATTTGCTGTACTTGGGAAAAAAGCTAACAACAGAAACACTGAGAGAATGGAACCTGTATCCTTACTAATGGAAACTAAAATGTGCCTTGGCAGAGATTTTTTACTCGTAACTTAAAATTTCTGCTTGATTTTGTCATGTTACTTGCACTGAAAACCGCAAACATCCTTAGCAACAAACTTCACTGCTCAATCCACCAGGCACTTGGCAGTCACAGGGAGAACCATATAAACTTGCTTGATGTTGCCACTCTGCTGAAAAAGAATTAAACTTTCTAGGGCCAGACTGACACCTATACCTCAGTTTTGTCAAGTCTGACCAGGTAACACAACACCCAAGTGATCCAGGTTTCAACACCATTGCCAGATCAGCACTGAGCTGACCTGCTTTGTCAGGAGCTCTGTCCCTCTCTTTCCTCTTGATGGTTTCAGCTTTTCTTTGCACCAGCACCATGTTTAAAAGCTCTGATTTGGGTATAGAGCCTTTACACAGCCACCAGAAGGAATGGCTTTGTGAGGCAGCCATGTTCTGGGTGTCCTCAGCTTGGTTGGGACAGGGCTTAACTCACTGTGTGCTCATCAGGRGTTAAAACAGTTCCTACAGGGAACTCCCACAGGCAATTCCTACAGCTAACTCCTACASGGAACTCAGTGCTGCAGGAGCAGGACCAGTGAGGCTCCAAGCTACCTGAGCTGAACCAGCCTGGAGTGTCCCTGTTCTTTGCTGGCCCTGAACCCAAATTCCCACAGCCTTACATAGATCAGGATAATACACTCAGAGCAGCAGAGCTGTTCCCAGGAATGTGCATTTCTCTCTGCTGAGGGCTGGTTTACTATTGGTATTTCTTACCTGCCTGACAGCAAAATGGTCCAGTCAGTTCCAAACTGGGAAGAAAGTAGCTGGCCTTTTAAAGCTGCAGCAGCAGCTCCTTGGAGAGTCTACAGCAATTCTGAATGACTAAGGATTTTACTCAGGGAGTAAACAGGGAGCTCCTCCACTGGCTTTATTTGTCTTAGCAGGGGGATGGAGAAGACAAAGTCTTCAGCATGCACAGTCACCTCTAGAAAGCTTCTTACATCTATTTGGCTATTAACAGATTTATTTTGTTGGTAAAATATCAGCTACAGTCTCTTTTGGGTTTTCCTTTAGCATGATCTACTCATTTTTACTGAACAGAAAACATCCCTAAAACAACAATTCCATCTCACAGAGAAGTATAGATAGGGAATTCCTGTGAACAGGCATGTGCTTCCTATGGAACTGGYTCCTCCTTCCCTCAGGCAGCAGTACACCACGCTGGATCCAAAGCCAGGTGGCAGTGCAAACAGATTCCTCCACGCTCAGGCTTATGCTGTCACACTGTGCTACATTTCTGCTGGTTGATAAAGAATATCATCTGTCCTGCTTTGATGTTCAGTCTTCTGTAATTGATCCTCACAAAAACAAAGCTGTGCCTAATGGTAAAGGAAAGCTTTGTCTTGACAGGCCCAGAATTTCCTCTCTCATGTCAAGCAAGACGTTTCTACACACTTGTGCTCTTCTTTCAGAAGTCTAGATAAAATATTCAGCACCCACAATCCAGAAGCCTTTGTAGTAGAAACAACAGATCATTTCTTTTTGTCTGAGGAGATGTTGCTTTTGATTGCACAATTAAGACTATGGAGTGTGGCTCTTTATTAACATGCTTGAAATACGACAACGTAGTAAGAGCATGAACGAGGATAAAGCACCTTGCAGGAGTCTGTGTCCCATCACCTGGGATGAAACTACGGCGAGAGGTTCCCACATCCAGCAGGATTCTCCACCCTGAGCCACGCTAATCCGGTAGATCGTTAACAACCATTTGGGAGAAGGGGGCGTTCAGCCTGTCCAGTTCATCCACTTGGGGRGGGTGATGCATTATAACCTCATGGTCCTCTGACACATCATCCCCCACTGTGACCAGGTTTGTTAGGGATTTGCTGCGAACACACTGGAAATCAACGTGGCGGCTCTTGCCCTCCTCCTTTTCCCAGGACATCTGGATGAACGGCCTCTGCACGTAGTTGTAGATCACCTCGGAGCGGCCACCAGGCCTCCTCTTCACCTTCTCCTTGCACGTGGGATACCCTGGAAACACAGACAAAGTCAGTTCCACTGCATCCCTCTGATTCACAAAGGGATAACAGGATTCCAGCAGAACACCCAGGCAGGGGTGACTTTGGAGTCAGGGTGAGACACACACACACAACTCAGTAGACAAATGCTCGGATTCCACATTATCATTACTAGCTTACAAAAGGCTGTTCTATTTTCCCCTGCAAAGGAGTCCTGGAAGTCTGGACATCCTTCACAAAGGAAAGCTTAAAGATCCAGGAGCAGGTCATTCCCATGTGCCAAAAGATGAGCCAGTGAGGATGAGAAGGATAAAGGGGCAGACAAATCAGGAGCAATATTAAGACATTGTGAGGTTATGTGTCGAGAAAAGAAGAAGAGTCAAGGCTGAGCCCAGATGGGCAACAAGGCCAAGGGCACTTGGGCTGTAACAGCCATGGTGTGTCCAGCAGGCCCAGGGCAGTGACTGTCCCCCTGTTCTGGGCACTGCTGAAGCATCTCGAGTACTATRTTCAATTTTGGGCCCCTCATGGCAAGAAAGACATTGACAGGTTGGAGCATGGCCAGGGAAGGCAACGGAGTTGAGGAAGGGTCTGGAGCACCAAAATCGGCTGGGAGAGCTGGGGGGGGGCTCACCCTGGAGCAATGGAAGCTCAAGGGGGACCTTGTGGCTCTGCACAACTCCCTGACAGGAGGGGGCAGCCGGGGGGGAAGGGTAGGGCTCTGCTCCCAGGGAACAGGGGCAGGACCAGAGCAAATGGCCTCAAGTTGTAGCAGGTGGGGTTTAGATTGGATATCAGGGAAAATTTCTTCACCAGGGTTGTCCAGCCCTGGCACARGCTGCCCAGGGCTGTGGYGGAGTCACCATCYCTGGAGTGGTCTAAAAGAYGTGTGGATGTGGCAYTTGGGGATGTAGTGGGCWTAGCAGTGCTGRGTTAATGGTTGGACTCAGTGATCTCAGAGAGTTTTTCCAACTTAAATGACCCCATGATTCTAAGATATGGGGGTGCAGCACTGTGTGCAGTCAGTCACAGGTGCTGCACTGCACCAGCCATTCTGTGAGCAAACACCCATTTTTAAAAATAAGACAGTCTCCCAGGACAGAGCCCAGCAGTCTCCAAGTTCCCTAAGGGAATGCTYGGATCAGCAGGTGGAAGCATTTGACTCCCGTTTCCTGTTTACTCATTCCTAAGGAGACAAGTCCTTCTGGTGCATGTTATGTACCCCTAACTTTCCTTTAACTTTGAAGCCCCTTGGCCAATTTCAGTGGAACACGTTAGAAGTAAAGGAAGAACATGCTGAGTTTTGACTTGTTTCATAAAAATAAATGTAAAGCACAGAGTAAACAAGGAAACGCCTGGAGTCCAGAGGAAACCAGGCTTTACTGACTGTGGAGTCACCTGGTTGTGCATTTCCCTTGCTGAGGCAGCACTTTACCTTCAATGCCAATGCGAATGTTCTTCAGGCCCCGTTCCTTTAACACAGCTTTTGCCACGTCCCGGTTCTCGATGTACTTGAAGAATCTGTACAGCTTGGAACTGTAAAGGACTTGAGAAAAAAAAAAGGGTGTTAGAATCTACAAAGAGGAACCTTCTCYCTGCTTTTGACATGCCCTGCTGTGCCAAAATCCAGGTGTGGTTTCCAAGAATTATTTCAGGTGTCTGTTTYCCTCACTGGGATAAATCGCACTTCCTTGTGGGAAGGCAGAGATGYACATCACAGTCTCCATAGACTGGGTGGTGATGGGAGTGCAAAAGAAGGAGTATTCCCCCACTAAGGAGCCAGGAGAAGGTTGAAGGGGAAGCAGAAGCAGAAGAAAACGTGCAGTGAGTGCTGAGATCAGCTCTAAAAAGCGAGCTATCGTGCCTCCAGCAGCACCAGCTCAGAGCACACAAATCAGGGCTCCATGTGCCAGCATCTCTCCATGGAGGAAGGCAGCTTGGGAATGTGCCTTTTCCTCATGGCTGGGTGTGTGTGAAACACAGTGCAGAGCCCTCACTTTGTGAATACTCCTCTCCCATGGGAGGGGGATGATCCTCATCCCAGTCCACGGTGTCCTCATCTGTCAGCACGACGATGTGGCAYTCCCGCTCGCCCTTCCTGGCGCTGTCCACCATGATGGGCAGGATCAGCTCCTCCAGGTAGCTGTCAAACTGCTTGTGAGCCCCRTCGTTGGASAGCTCRTGTAACAGAGCACCTGAGGAGACAYAGAGMAGAGGAGCTTTGCTGCAGGAGGAAAATATGTCCCAGCTCTGCACCKCCCAGATCCACCCGAGAGCACAGCCAGAATTCTTCYCCAGACAAATTGCTCAACATATGTTCAGACACATTGACAGCCTCCAGATCCAGAACTGGCAAAATCAGAGGTACATACTGCATTTCAAAGGGGATGCAAATGGCACTGCAGAACCATTCCRTTCCCATTAAAAACCTACCAAGCTCCAATCAATACAGTGCAACAGTAACAGACTGAATAATTAATTCATTATCATACTTAACTTGAATTTCCAGCAACAACCTCTGCCCTTGAAAGTCCATTTTGCTGCCTTTTCTGTGATCTCTCATCAGAGAACAGGGCAGGAAATTCCACCCACAGCCTGTGTTATGATACCACACACCCCATTTCGGTAATGTGCCTTTCACAGACCTGCCTGTGTTAAAAGTACTTTTTTTCTTGCCAACATGCCCACCAAAAAGCTGTTCCAAATCAAATCCCTTCATGATCAGGAACTCTGTTACTTTCCAGATTTGTTTTCCTTGGTTTCTGCTCTGCCCACCAGCCTTTAGTTTAAATTATTCACGATTCTCTGGTATATTTTGGATAGGGGTTATAACCCTGCTTTTAGCCTTCATTTTATTGACAGTAACAGGAAGCTGTGCTTAGCCTCTGTTAGAAAAAGAGACTAAATTGTTTATAATTTGCTTTTGGAACAAGGTGCCTGTGTTCTGAAGGATTCAGTCACTTCACTTTGGAGTGAAGCGGCCAAAAGGAAGCTGTTTAAATGCAATTTGAGCCCCACTGAAATCCACACATTCATGCTTAAACTAAAGCACAAGATTAAGAACTATACTGATTCAGGATCAGAGTGCTCAACACTCTGCTAATGATCTCCCAAGAGCTGATTTCTCTCCATACTTACTTAAATCTTGACATTTGATTGTGTTGAAATCAAAGTTTATGCAGAGGTAATCACATGTGTCTCGAAGGTCTGGGATGGAAATCCCATCTGGGCAGTTAATGATTCCRGTTTTGTAATAATCCTGTGCATAAAAGGACAGTTTTTAGAGAGAAAAATTAAGAATATCTTGGACTGTGATCATTCCTGTTAGTCTTTTGTTTTGTTTACTAATGCTGGAGAGATACKGAAGCTATTTATAGCTCTGTGAACAGTAAAACAGCTCTGCTTGTCCGAGAATCTACGTCTGTTTGCAGATCCTCTAGGGTCTGATAAATTATGAGCTCCAGTTAAAACTTTTCCATGGCACAAGGTTTCAGAAAATGTCATATGCAATATGCATTTATATGCAACCACAAGGTCAGGATACAGCTCAGGAATTACAACAGCAGGACATAGAAAAGGTAAAAGGCAACACGATCAAATATCTGAAATGTGGATTTATATCAAAGCCCGCTCTATTTTTTCTTTCAAAATCACAAGGCAAAACGTGAAAACAGAATGTCCCAGGGAGCACAGCTGCCTGGAGATGGCTCAGTTGTGCACATGTGACAAACAGATTGTTTCTTTCTTCTCCCCCCATCTGCAAAGCTGCCCTTACCAGCACGGTGCGGAACACGGCCGAGCTGATCCCTTCTGCGATCTCGTATTCGCCCTTCTCATTTGGCCTGGTGAAATTGTACTCTCTGCCTGGCCCAAACATCCTGAAGAGATAAAGAGCTATGTAAGTGCACAAGAACATGGAAATGCATTTATTACAGWGACAAACAGGTACATTGGGGTTAAAAAAATTCTTCCCTGTGAGGGTGCTGAGGCCCTGGCACAGGCTGCCCAGAGAAGCTGTGGCTGCCCCAGCCCTGGGAGTGTCCAGGGTCAGGATGGACAGGGCTTGGAGCATCCTGGGATAGTAGAAGGTGTCCCATGGCAGGGGGTGGAATGAACTGAGCTTTAAGGACCCTTCCAAATGAGGCCATTCCATGAWTCTGTGATGAAATCCAGTAGTGACACACAGATACAGTAACTTAAACCTCCACTCCAATCTCTTCCATAGTAAATAAGGACAAAAGCTGGCTCAGGGAGGCCTGGGCTCTGTTGCTATGGCTACTGCACTGCAAGGAACAAGCCAAAGGAACAGATCATTCAGTCCTCGAGCAGCAAATCCCCTGGCACTAAAGCCCTTGCACTGACCCTCACCAGATAACTCCACGTGGTTTTTGATGCCTTGTTCTACACAACAACACGTGCAAGGGTCAGTGACCCAACAGAACCCTTTGGTCAGAGCCGGGGAAAGTGCTGGCAATGCAGCACACAAGGGTTTCTTGGTGCAGCAACAGGCCCAACCTTTCAGCAGGAGCTGAGTAACTTCTATTTCAGGAGAGGGAGGTGGCAGCAGAAGGGGATGGAGCATTATCATATTGCCCATTCAGGAGGGAGGTTATCAGCTGGAGACAGATGTACTGCTTACAGACCAGACAAACACTTGGGAAGAAGGTAAATGGAGACCAAGTTAGGCTAAAAGTGTGCATTTTTTGATGGGAGTGGACCAAAGGGAAGCTTATCTAGGGAACTACCAGCTCTCCATCTGGTCAGGTCTTGTGGGTCTCACTCACAGCCAAATTCTGACTGACGTCACCGTGTGTACAGATGAGATCACAAAACAAACATTACATGTTTATTCCATTTTAACAAATATTAGACTGTCCTAAAGTACCTTAAAAATAACAGCAGTGACCTACCTTCCCAGCATGGTATCAGGGTGAGCAGTGAAGATCTGGGGATTCACTGCAAAGCGGGTGCCATCCACCACCAAGGTCACTTTCTCTGGAGCCACTGTCTGGGAACTGCTGCTTGAAGACAAAGCGCAGCATCCGTGGCGTTCCTGGGTATTAAAATATTCCGGCTGTCTCTTATTTCCATCTGGGAAATGGCAGTTGTGAGGYTCTTCAGGAGCAGAGAGCATGCTACTGATCTGGGGACTTACTGGGCAAGTGTTGTGTCGGCATTCAGAGTCCAGACCTGAGGGACACAAACAAACGTTGCAAGGGGAAGAGAGAATTTATTGAAAAACAWCATTTCATAGTAACACTTCCTACTGAAATGAGAAAACTGAGTCATRCAATAATTAAGGATGCCAATAGCCATAACTGTCAGGGGAATATTCTATGACATAGAACTAGGCTGTTACTGAATTGAATCAGCAGCTGGATGTTTTGATGAACCATGACGCCTAATGTTCCTTGTTAAAGCAAGATGGATTCAGGTGCAAATGGCAGGAGCACAGGAATTAAACAAGGYCAGAAATACAGAGCCAGGCTGCTGGCAGAACTCCCACAGGAAGCTGAGCAGTAGCACACACCTCACCACGGTGGTATAAGGCAGTAGTGCCCAGTGCCAGYCCGTGGTGGGCACACAGGACTGTCCAGCTGCCTCCAGTGAATGTGCTCAGGGACAGCCCCAGGAGGAGCTGCCTGGCCAGGGCATTCCCATGGGATGATTGTGCCAAGATGCTGAACTCTGCTGTGAACTGCTGCCCTTTAGAGCAGCCTGGCACAGGCAGGGGACATACTCCCCAGTGCAAACTGCCTTGTGATACTGAAACATTTTCCAAAACAGAACACCCCTCAAAACCCAAAAAATCATCTCACTTAAGATTATACGATTGAGGATGTTATGCTTACTTTCAGCCCTGGGAACTGCAGGGCTGTGACCTCCTAACACCACAGAACTTTCTTCTGACTCATGGGCTGCTACAGTTCTGTTTTCCACAGGACAACTGGACTCCTGATTTCTTGACCAGTCTGTGCCTCCAGCACAGTTCACATTCATGCTGGTCCTCCGTGCTGTGAGGAGTTGCTGGCGTTTCCTAAGAGAAGAGCTGGAGAGAGAAACCCAGGTTGTTAGTTTTGGAAGAAACTCCCATGCAATGAAGTTGAAATCCTTGTATCTGGTACAACAAGCAAGGTCCCTCAGGCTCAAAAGGCATTTCTTCAGGTATTTTTAACTGTGTTTCAGAGGCTTATGGTGTTAGTTATGCCCCTACTCTCACCTAGGAAGAGGGGAAAAAGGTTTTAAAGTAATAAAGGTTCTATTAAATCTATTTAATCTATAGAATTTAATTTTTAAGAGCTAAGTCTAAAGCCACTGATGTCTTTAGATCACATGTATGTTCCTGCAAATATCTTCCTGGCAATTACCAACCCTCCAAACCTCTAGTGCCCTTTAAAAATGTTTATATTCTCGACTCCCAGTCCTGGCAAAAGGAACTCTGTAACACAGTTACAGCCTGAAAAACAACATTTCCCCAGTGAACAGCTCAGGCACTGCCTCTTAACCACTCTGACCAGGAGGTTCCCTGCTCCCAGGTATTGCTTGGTTTTGGTTCTTTCTTCTCAATTTATCCTGTGCTGTCAAACAGTGCTCCCCCCAGTATTTAACCCACAAGAGACACTCACATGGCAGAACWGCCATGCTGGAGCAGTCCCACACACAATGCTCTAACCAATAGCTCTCTAATTTGGAATGTTTTTCCAGCATATGTGGAGATACATCTTCCATTTTTTTTCCCATTTTTTTCCCAGTGAAATTCTTCCTCCTTATTTTGTTTTTAAGATCCACTTCACTCCTTTGTATCTCCTAACAGATCAGGTCTCTTTGCTGTCTCTTTCCCCCATTCTCTCTGGCATTTGTTTTGCCCTGGATGAGAACCAGCTCTCCTTTCTTGGCTTCAAGTGTTTTCCTTTCACTCYCTCAAACATAAACCACCAATTTCCTCATTAATGAATTTTTCCAATTTCCCCCCTGCAGAACAATTGTTCTGTGTCCTTCCCTTGGCTCRGTGAAGCCTGCAGAGCCTGCGGGTGCCATCTCTGACGCCTGGCAGAGCAGTGCCGTGGCAGAGACAAAGCAGATAAAACACAAMCCTAATAAAACAGCAAAATGCCAAGTCAGAGTTGCTGAGTTTTCTGGGCCAGCACCTGCTGAGGGTGAAGGCCTTAATGAGCAGTTCAGTGCTGGRTTTCAAGTCCATCGTTACTGGCAGTTTGAATTAAGCATTTTATTCTTAATGAGAATTTAAAAAGGAGTAACAATTCTTTCCTTTGGTTCCATAAACCCCATTCTAAGTTGCCAGCATTATTATATCTGTATATTTTTAGAAAATCTGCTGCTTACGCATCATGTGATGGTCATCTGAAAGAAGATTTTTGGCAACAACAAAACCATTTCTTTTTTTAAAGAGTCTGACCAGGAGGACCAGTGACACGAGGAGCTCCCGAGGGTCATCTCAGTCCCAGCAACCTGAACAGCACCCACAGCATTGCCTTCCCCTCTGCTCTCACCACAATACCCGGTGTGGGGAAACTCCCTCTCCCCACACCTTCCAGGCTGCTTTCTTATCCTGGCTGCCTGGACCCTGAAGAGACCCCTCATCAGTCCCACCAGAAACCCAAYAGTCCCTGTGAATGCTGCCCTGCACCTGGGAATAGATTGACAGAATATCTTGAGTTGGAAGAGACCATCAGTATCCCTGCTGCTCACAGGAACACACACAACTACATCGTGTGACCAAACATCCTCCAGGTGGAACCATGGAATATCCTGAGCTGCAAGGGACCCACAAGGTCATCCAGTCCAGCTCCTGACCCTTGAAATGATATCCTAAAATCCCACCCTGTGCCTGGCAGTGCTGTCCAAATGTTCCTGGGGCTCTGGCAGCCTTGGGGCCATGCCCATTCCCTGGGGAGCCTGGGGAGTGCCCAGCACCCTCTGGGGACAGAAGAACCTTTCCCAACACCTTAAGGGAGATGGACCTGGCCACACATGAACAAATCTGTTACCTGAGCAGAGGTAATACAAACTCCCTGTGAAAAACCCAAGCAGTCCTCTGCTCTCTTCTCTCATGTTTTAGAGCAGCAAAGAGGTGGTAGAAAGTCCAGCAGTGCTGGGCAGTGGGACATGAGGATGTGGAGGTAAATCTAAATATGAAAACGCACATACTCTAAAACACCCCAGAGGGAAAAAAAAAGCCCAAACAAAACCCCAAAAAAGGCCTTTTGAATCAATTCCAGAATTACTATGTCCAATGGAACAAAAAGTCAACTATTGCCCTGTTTCATAGCACCGCAATTATCGTGAGGAAATGGAATTTTTCAGACTGCAAATGCTAAAGTATTTATATAACTAATACCATGATTTCAAACACATTCACTGAATTATTACATTGTATGTTTTGACCCTGATATTAGCTCAATTGGTTGGAGCATGATGCTGATAACACCAAGGTTGTKCATTCAATCCCTGTAAGGGCCATTCACTGAAGAGTTGGATTTAATGATCCTTCAGGGTCCTTTTCAATACAGAACATTCTGCAATGAGTGATCTGAACCAAAATGCTCTAAAATATGGTAACTGCACTGAAAGTCAAAACTTGTCTTTTAAAATGCAGTTTGATTTACTTAGGGAAAAGTATTCTGAAATGAGGAAAAGAATATCCTTGTCGAGAAGATAATCAAGATAATCCTAACCCTAAGGGAAAGCCCTTAAGGGGAGTCATTCTTGAGACTTGCCAGCTGTCAGGAGGAATTCCAGAATGGTTTGGGTTGGAGGGACCTTAAAGCATCTCAAGGGTCACCTCCCAGCAGCCCAGGTTGCTCAGAGGAACAGACACCACATCGCGTTGTGGCTCAGGAACTCTTTCCCCCCAGCCCCTCCTTAACTTTCCTATACTGAAACAATATCCCTGATAAAAGTGATGCTACCACACTCACCAGGGAACAGAATCTGCTCTGTCAGCTGACAAGAACTCCATTAAGAAAACAAGATAAGCATAAAATTTACTTCTTGGGTCTCTTTCTTCCAGGAGTGCTCAATTGCTGCAGCTCTGCCAACAACCTCCCCTTGCAATGCCTGAACAATCTCTTGATTATTTAATACGTTACTCAGCAGAGAGGAGAATTTAGGCAGGAAATCAGATCAATAAGCAGAGCATATGAAGGCAAAGAGCAGCTTTATCCAGGGACACTTAGACTCCATAATTTCCCCAGAACTCTGCCTCACAAGCCCCATTTAAGTGATGTCAAATAGCATGAAACACCAACAGGCTGACTATCACAACAACCACACTGAGTTGGGTGAATGTTGAAATCTTTGTTCATCACTTCAAGCTCTGAGTTAAATGCAGAGACCCTGCACTCAGCTCTCAGCAGAGACCTTAACTACAGCASCTCAGAAATTATTTACAGAACTATGGAGGAACTACAATACACAAATACAAAAATTCCCCCACTTTTGTTGCCTAATCTGCTAAGCAAGAGTTGTTAGGGAAAAAATGCCCCCGCTGTTTGACACAGTTCTCCTGTTCTTTTCTGTTACACTAAGTTGAGCACCAACATAAAGTACTAAAATCAGCTGCTCTTTGCAATGTGATGGCTCTCCCAAGTGTAAGATCTGACTTTCCTCTTTCCTGGAAGTRGAACATCCAGTCCTGCTGATCATCTGACCCAGCTCAGGCTGATGGCATTTCCCTGCCCCCTGGCCCCTCTTGGCATGCCCAAATGCTGCACATCATGTGTCAGCAGAATTGAGGGAAATGAGAAAACAWCTTTTTGCACATCTGGCTGGTACAATAAATCCCCAAACTGGTCATTWAACGTGACAAATCTATTGCAAACACACCCAGAACCCAGTGGGGAAACAAGTACATAAAGACTTCAAGGCCAAACTCCTGCCTGACCAGCTTACAAATGTCCTGGTTTCCTTTCATGCCCAGGATCAAGGAGAACTACCGTGGTGAGAATGAATACCCATAAATAATAATTAGCACTATTCATCTTCAAAGCTTTTTACAAATATTAACTGCTCATTGCTCCTAAGAGCCCTGGGAAGCACTGCAGGGAAGTGTTTTATGAGAGAAAACAGGGACACAGAGGAGATTTAATCCTTAGGCTGAGAGCAGCAGGCCCACTGCCTACTCAGGTGTTACTCTGACTTGTGGCACGTTCTCTCCTCAGCTCCCTGGCCATGCACCAGCAATTCCTCTACAGCATCAGGACAAATACTGCCAGGTTACCACCACCTTCTTCAGAGGGCTCCTTCCATGCACGTTTCCACCCTCTGGGAAGTGTTAATTGGGTGGCACCACAGAAGGGATCATGAGCAGTGAACAGGCACCCTGATGTCTTTCCTCACTGGGACCAAACAAGCCTGGGACTGGTTTGTGTGCTCAGATCCTGAAAAACCAGGGAAGGACCGGGCCACAGAGGAGCTGAAGCCTCACAGCTGGACTGGGGGAGCTGGGAACTCAGGGGCAGCAAAAGCCCCATGTCACATTTGGCACTAAAGATCAGTGAAAGAGCTACTCCAGCCAGAGAAAGGCTGTGGCTTTTTTTTTGTTTTTTTTTTTTTTAAGGGAATCGGTATCAGAATCAAAAATCAAAATTCCCATCTGGCTCTGGCCGYGGGTTTTGCCCTACTTGGGGTGTGTGGGTCCTTCCTTCCTCTGGAATGCAACAATGTCAGGAATGAGCTGTGCRACTGCACAAACATCTCTGTGCTGGTGGTCCCAGTGAAATCATCTCAATTTGAACTAGTCTAGAGCCTTGTCTTTCACTGAGGGAAAAACAAGGAAGTCAGATTTAAATAGTTTTTAATCACAAAATGGAAACACTTTTCTWTAGCAATGAACCTGTGGCACAAACAATTCATGCTGCAAATGCTTTGCAGAGATAAAGAGGCTGATCCTTGTTCTTTGTAATTCTTWAGAAGGAAGTGTTTTGGAATGTAAAGAGTCTGGGACAATCTTCAGCAGTTATCCTTCCCCACCCTAAGGAATCTGAGGCACTTCCAAAGCCACTTCCCAATGCAGACAGTTCTCACCCC